GCCCGATGCGGGACTCGATCCCAGGACTCCAGGATCATGACCTGAGCCGAAGGCAGTCGCTCAACCAACTGAGCCACCCAGGCGCCCCTATTTTTTTTATTTTTAAAGGTTTAATTATTTATTTGACAGAGAGAGACACAGCGAGAGAGGGAACACAAGCAGGGGGAGTGGGAGAGGGAGAAGCAGGCTTCCCGTGGCGCAGGGGGCCCGATGCGGGGCTGGATCCCAGGACCCCAGGATCATGACCTGAGCCGAAGGCAGACGCTTAACGACTGAGCCACCCAGGCGCCCCAATGTAGGGCCTTTAGACTGGTAAGGAAGGGAAGAAGCAGGAGTAGGTAACATGAGTTTAGATAATCCACCAAGTCCTATTCGGTGCGTGTGCTAAGAATTCCATGCATGCTCAGCTGGACAGAATGAGAGGCCTCTCCCCACAACCCCCAAAGCAGAATTTGAAATGTAAGAAGTCTGAGGTACCGGCTTCCCCAAAAGTTAATCACTGCATCATCTCGACGCACACTTTACTGCTTTTATTAAGTAACGGGCTATGAAGAGTTGTCATTTCCGTGTCTGTTTGCTAAAACTGGAAGAATCTGTCCAGACCACAGAAGAGGAAAACTGCCTGTTTCTTTACTCAGCACCATAAGCACATATGATTTGGTTTGCTTTTTAGACACTGCTTTTCTTGGCTCCAACTCCAATGCTCCAGTATTAAAAGTTCTTAGCACACAGTCCTTGTTTTAGATCAGGCTTTCTCAATCCTAGCGCTACTGACATTTGGGGTCGGATCATTCTTGGGGTCGGGGGGCGCTCTTGCATGCACTGCAGGATGTTTAGCAGGACCCCTGGCATCTGCCCATGAGATACCGGTAGCACTGCTGCCTGCCAAGTTGGGGCAATCCAAAATGTCCCCAGACATTTCCAAAGCTCCACTGGAGAGAAAACTGCCACCAGCCGAGAACCACTCTGCTAGCTGGCCTCAGTGGTGTCACAGTTAGGTGGCCAGGCCTATGGCAGCCCGAAGCAGGGTACTCACCTCCATTCCATCCATGGCCATGGTGGCCAGGTAGTTAGGGTCCTGCTTGTTCCAGCAGAGGCGAAGCAGTGGGTGATGCTGTGGGTCTTCATAAATGATGGTGCTGTGTTCTAGATGACGGAGGTCAAACATCCGCACCGAGCCATCAGCGCCCACGGAGGCAAACATGTCCCTGCCACCCCCAGCCCGACTAAACGCAATATCATAGACCTGTGGGTGAATAAGAAGCTTCAGTCAGATTCAGATCCGGGACCTTCTTTCCCTGTAGCAGGGAACCCTACTATCCCTAGTTCCCCTAAACCCCATCATGACACAGAAGGAGGTCAATAAAGCCAAACGGTATCTGTGAGTTCTGGCGCCTGAGACCTCCAACCTCGGTGACTTTCTGCTATACAAACTGGCTGGCTTCTTCCTGCATTTTTGCTTTCTGAGTCTGTTTCCTCCAACCCTCGTGATAAGACAAAGAGCATAAACCCTGCTGAGCAACAGAGCACAGGGCGGAGTTTTCTACGTGCTGTCAGCCAATGGCTGTCCTCGGCCACACTACAAAATTGAGACATTTATTTCCCTGGCCTTGATGGCTTTCATTTGTGTGTGATCAGAGACAGATCCATGCCCACATTAAGGCCACTGATTTGAGAGGTGGAGGCAGCCCTCCTGTGGCCACTTAACAGCAGCCAAGCGGGTTCTGCTGTGAAACCCGGACCTGAAACTCATTTTCTTTTCTTTTCTTTTCTTTTTTTTTTAATTTATTTGACAGAGAGATAGAGAGAGAGTACAAGTAGGCAGAGAGGCAGGCAGACGGGGAGGGAGAAGCATGCTCTCCACTGAGCAGGGAGCCCGACATGGGGCTCGATCCCAAGACCCTGGGATCATGACCTGAGCCGAAGGTAGTGGCTTAACCGACTGAGCCACCCAGGCACCCCTTCAAGAAAAAAGAGCAGTTTTGAATCATGGGACACTCAGGTGTTCCTGTCTTCACAAAGAGGTTCAGGATCACTCTCCTGTCCTAGGACATGCTCTATTTCTTCTCCTAGTTGGTTTGTATTCATAAGTGAATCAATTTAGGTTTTGAATCATTGTTTTCTGCATTTATTACTTGCTGCAAACATTGCACACCACTAATACCTATGAGAAAACAGGGGCAGAGAGCAACAGAGAGCTTCAGAGAAAAAAAAAGCAACAAAGAGAGACGGACAAAGCCAGAGCCAGAGTGGAAAGAGAGAAAAACTGAAAAACCAATTCCAAGGATCTCCTGGGGTCAAGGATAGTAACAGCTGACTTCTGGGGAGACATGAGTGGCATCTCTCACTAAATACCGCGACTCCAGCCTTCTTGAGGTTCTGCTTACTAAGGGACATTGCCAAAGAAGCATCTATTTCTATTCGACCTCATAAATTCCTTTTTCTCTGGCTGACTACGAAATTACACTTCTCTTTCTATGGTAGGAATTAGGAGTGGTACAAAAGCAAACCCAGCCGGTCATCACAAGGAGGCCTGACAGATCACGGCTCTGACCAGCACTGTCCACCCATGTCAGGGCAAGGGTATGTTTACAAGATGTGTTCCCCACGAGCTGGCTCCCAGGAATCCCAGGGACAGGGACACCTCGGCTGCCCCGCTAAGCGCTCAGGTGCCCCAGGCAATGCGGCCGAGCATGTCAAGCTCTCTCAGCTCTTTCCTCTTTCTCCACCTAAGCATTTCCTCCTAAACCTAGGGAAGGTGACAACTCCTGGATAGACACTCCCCTCCTCCACACCCAGCCCTGCGGCAGGCAGCAACAAGAAAGAGCTTTCAAACAAGTCTCCACTTTGACAAAGAGGTGGATTGAGGAAAAGCAAAGGTCTAGGAGGTGTCGCTGTTTCCCTGAGAGCCACCCTCCCAGGTCTGTTTCTTCAAGGCCGGGGTGCAGGTTAAGATCCATCCCTGGCCCTTGCCCTAGGGAGAAGCTAAGGTATTTCTCATCCCCTCTCTTTGTTCCCTCAGTGTCTCTGTCAATGGCTGTGTCCCCTCCGTGGTTTTAGCTTTTGCCAGGGAGACCCAGCCCCTGGGCTCCAGGAACCCTGTCTCCTCCCTTCGCCCCTCTGGCCTACAGGCAGTAACAGCTTCCTGTGTCTCCTATTCTCCACCTTACCTCGCTGTTGCCAGTGTGGCCTCCCAGCTTCACCATCGTCTTTGTGAGCAATGCCCTAGGTTAAATCCCAAGTTTAAATATTTATAGTAGTTCTAGTCTTCTGGGTTGGACCCTGACAGAGAAGAGCAAACTAGGTTGTCACAGAACTAAAATGTAGCAACCTGTTCCACTTGATGTCAAGAGGGTTTCCAGAAGTTCCTTACTGGTCCTCTCTGTAGGACAAACTCTTCCTTTGCCCTTTAGCCTAGCAGAAGCCAAGTCTGGCAGTCTTGTAACAGAGCTTACCTGAGGAGCGCAGAAAGCCAAAGACCAGCCCTTTACTAAGAGTGATAACCTGGTCACCATCTTCCCATTCTGAGGACAACCTCAAGTGTCTGACCTGAGGGCAAGGCATTCTTTATATCTGGACTAATACTCCTCGCTGAGCAGGGTAAGGGAGAAAAGAAAAGGAAACACGACCCACAGGAAATCAAGAGTACAAGAGGCATGCAGCAGCTCTGGGAGGAAAAAATTTATGACTGGTTTCCAAAAGCTCTCCTCAGAAGAATGCTTTGCTCAAAACACAATCACAGATAGCTCCCCTCGGCTTTTCCAATAAACACAGGAGAAACATCACCATGAAAATAAACCATGTTCCATTCCAGACTGTATTAAAAGTATTAAGGAACATACTAGAATTTCATAAAACAAGTTGAGAGAAAAAAATGATGATTTAAGTTTGTCTGCCAAGAAATTTTCCCTCTTCCTGGTTTCCCCCCATTTCCCTCTCCTCCAAAAAGTAAATATATTTCAAGATAAGTGTTATTTTTTAATTCCATCAGGTCCAATAAGAGCATTCATTATTACGAAACAGCAACCTCTGGCACAAAAACTATACATGTAGATTAAGTTGTTTACGTCGGCCAAAAAAAACCCACGTTAGTTTACAACAGTGTTGTTTCTCACTATTGGGACACACTACTATTTTCAATTTCAACAAGACATCAGCATTATGATTTTTCACATACTCTGCACAATAGTGAAAGGATGGTCTGACCTCGAACTGAAGGCACAGAAAGCAGCTAAGGAAAGCAGAAAGAGGAACAGCATCATTACCTCCTTGTCATGCGCGATCAGCTGGGTCTTCACATGACCAGACACAAGATTCACTCGCCCCAACACCTGCCCTGTCTCCAGCCCCCAGATGGTACAAGTCGTATCAATGCTGGAGGTACCTGGAAACAACCAGTGCATGTCAGTGGCTGACAGGAGTGAGGCTTCCCTCCTTGTGTCTACTGCTCTGTGTAGCCCAGGAGGTGACATGCCATAGATACTTGCTAGCCAACAAGAGTCAATTTTTAATCCCTACCCCAGGACCTTGGACTCTGCTGACTGGAGAGACAAGATATATACACATGGGAAGCTCAGCTCCATATGAGGAATTAATAACCACATTCCATATTTAGCCTCTTTCCCTCTGGCCCATTTTAGGCTGATGCATGGACCTCAGGCCCAGTGTTATATCTGAGGAAATGTATCTTTGCTTCTTCAAACTGGAATACGCACCCCCTCGCTCCCTTACCTAACAGATAAGGATCCACCTCGTTCCAGTCAAAGGAGGTTAGAGGAGCACAGAAATCTGAGTTCTTGTTATTGTTTAGCAAACATTCCAGCCGGGTTTCTGTTTCACCAACCTGAAGGAATAATAATTTTTAAAAATCAGCCAGTCTTATCTTCACAGAAAACCTTTAAAAGCTCCGATTAGACAATATATTACTAAACAGAAGACATAGGGGAAAACCATTTTTATCACAGAGTAATAAAAGCCAGAGGAACTCCCTGAATGCTACTTCTTTCCAAGCTTTCTCCTCTGCCCCGCTTTGTTTTTCCAAATGTTCACCCCTAGATTTTCCTAGAGGAGAGATCTTCTCACCTTGCCCGACCCAGAACCTCTGAATCCTGCCTGGCTGGGCACTACACCTCCAGGCTAGGAGAGATGCTGCTGCTGCTGGGCTCAGCTAAGAGAGGAGGTGAGGCTCCACAATCCACTCACATACTTCACTAGAATCAGTGGCCCGGTATTTTGTTTTTAATTCACTCAAAAATATCTCGGCTATATACAGAGTAAGAAGCCTCAAGCATCCCCACCTCCCACTCCACCCCCAGAAGGTTCTCTTCATTTCATCAGGTTAACCGAGCCTCCCAAGTTCCAGAGCCGACTGTGGCCTGACCACAGCAGGACTTCAAGGAATCTTGGCTAGATTTACCAGGGAATCTGGTGAGTCAAACGAGGTCATTCCAGATCCACTACCATTTGTTTCTCCTGGGCTACAATGACACTCACTGCCTCCAACCCCATTCAGTTCTGTGACTCCACACTGCATAGTAACAACCAACACAGAGAAAGCCCGTTGGTCTCGCTCCTAATTGAGCACCTGCTTACCCTCCACACACGGAGATAGTCACCACTTGTCGCCAGTAGGTCTGGATAGACGCCTTTTGTGTCGGGGATCCACATGAGCTTTGTAGTGGGGTACGGATGGTCAAAAGTGTTTCGGCAAATAAACTCCGAACTCTCTTCATCTAAACCAACAAGCTGAACCTGTAACACAACCAAATTGAGCCAGGTAAGCATTTGTTTTTCTGGAGCAGTATCAGATACATCAGATCCTTCCCCCTACCTCCCAACACATTGGCTAGTAACAAGCTTACACATAAGCATGTGTCAAAGGAGCATTCAAGAAACCAAACCACCGGGGCACCCGAGTGGCTCAGTTGGTTAAGTGTCCAACTCTGGATTTTGGCTCAGGTCATGATCTCAGTCAGGGTTGTGAGATCGAGCCCTGCATCAGGCTCTGTGTTGGACCTGGAGCCTACTTAAGATTCTCTGCCTCTCCTTCTGCCCCTCCCTCCACCCTTCCCCCCAAAAAGAACCCAAACCCACTGTAACTGGCAAAAAAAAGTGACTGCCATCAATGGCAAAGTTCCCTGGTTTCCAGCCACTTTTTCTTAGAATTGATTTGGACCAATATTAACTTCCATTCTTTTCTGTCAAACTCCATCTGGCTCAATGAGAAAAGCCACTCAGTATACAGTTGTTTATGAACTTCTACCAAATGGAAGATGGAATGGGGAATTTTTGGTAAAGATCCAAAATAAGTGGGTAAGCACCAACCACACAGCAGAAAAACAGAATTCCTTCTACTGTTGCCTAACTTCAGGCCCAGATACCAGTATTTTCCTGTTTTTTTTTTTTAAACAATTTAGGTACAGTTGCATGCAATAAAACTCACTTTAAGTGTACAGTTCAGTGATTTAGAATGTATACATTTGCAAAGGTATACAGATGGGAAACCTCTCATGATAATTAAGATATAGAACATTTCTATTACCCCAAAAAGTTCTCTTGGGCTCCTGTGCAGTTAATCCCTTACCCCTAGCCCCAAGCAACCACTGATCTGTACTTTTGGCTTTTCTGGAATACCATACAAATGGAATCATATGGTTATGAGTCTTGACTGGCTACTTTTAGCACAATGCTCCTGAGATTCATCCACATTACTGGGTGTATCAGTAGCGTCTCCTCTTTCATTGCTGAAAACATTGCATTATGTGGAAACACTATAATTTATGTCCATTTACCAGCTGATGAACTTTTAGGTTACTTCTAGTTTGGGACCATTATAAATATTGCTACGAATATTTATGCCTAAGTTTTTCTTGGACAAGCTTTCTTTTTTTTTTTTTTTT